ATTATTCCTAAATATATAGAAGAAAATTATATTATAATCCCAAATTAGATAAAAGATTTATCAACCTAAACCTAGTGTGACCTCACCCTTTACAAAATCAAACTCGAGTTTGATTTTTTAAAAAAAAATAGGTCCTATCGTATTAGGTCGGAATTTGCAAGATTCATATAAAATTGTCATCCCTACATATTTATTACTTGATAGATTCTTTAAGAATGAAGAGTTAGAAATTTGATTTCAAATTTTTTTTTTACAAAATGAGAGTATGAATAAAAAAGAAAAATCCATAATGATGTCATTTTAGTTTTTCTGAGATCTAAAATAATGTCGTTTTAGTATATCATCAGATTTTCTATCATGTCATTATATCATTTGTGATTTAAAACTCAAGTGATAAAAAAAGAAAAATGCCAAAATTGAATGATTGAATCGATTTTTTTTAAGATTAATGACCAAAATAAAAATAAGAAAAATGTTGAGTGATGAAATTTATGATTTATCCAAAAACAAAAACTTTAACCTGTAAAAGATTGTTTGCTGTATCATCTGGTAGTTAAAAAATCTTGATAGAAGCGATTGGACAAACTATACATTCTTCATAGTTGGAATGAATAGATGATTGAAGAATCAAACCTAAATACTATAATAGTGAAAGCGACAACCAAACGAACTATAGTGTTCTTCATGGCTAGAATGAATAGATGATGGAAGAATCAAACCCATATACTATAACAATGACAGCAACAATCAAACAATACTATAATGTTCTTCATAGTTAGAATCAATAAATGATCGAAGAATCAAACCTAAATAACATAGCAATGACAAGTTTTGATACATATTAAACAACCAACGGTGGGCATGATAGATCATTGATGGTGATTGGAATTACATTTGATTGGCAGCAACTTTGGATTGTTAAGCCAAAACAACAAAAGAATGAAAGACAAACCACTGACGTGACATTTTTTTTAAAGTTTTTTCAATGATAACATGACATTATCTCATGACACTTTAACATCACCATTAATTTTTTAATGGTAAGTGATTAAAATGAAACCAAAACGTAATATTAGGTATGATTTTGAAAAAAAAAGTTGTTAACTAAAATGGAATTACGTAATAGTTGGGTGACTAATTAAGTAGTTTACCCTATAATATAAATAAGGAAAAACGCATACAACCAACCAAAAACGCATATTCTAATTCCACTCTAGGGAACCTGAATTGCTTGAACGGGTTGCTTAATATCAGAGACAACAAGGACAAGGTCACCTGAGTTGATCATCACTCTTGCTTTGAGCAATGAGAAGGTCCTGTTTAGATTGCTCTCCGCATCATCTGACAAGTCGAGGCAGAAAGGTATCAGCCCCCACTACAGGTTCAGGCACCTTCGAATCGATGTCGATGGTGTAAATGCAAAGATTGGACACTCGGGCCGATTTCGGGAAAGAAGAGATGCTGTTTCTCCAGTTTTTTTGTAAACAAATATGGCATCTGCTTTGAGTTTGTTGACTGAAAGTTGAAAAGAAAAAGAAAAACTGTCATGGAACTCATTGAGAAAACAATTCATAATTGAGTTCAGCAAAAACACAATATACAAAGGCCACTTACCCATTCTGGAAGTCGTATTACATATCTCCTCGGGGATCCTAGCGGCCTTGGAAGATGAAACAATGGGAAGCTCAGTTGCATCCCAGTGCTTTTCCTCTCCCTGCCATTTCTCATCCTCAAACTGACAGTTGTTAGTACAGTTAATGCCTTCTCAGGGTAATGAACCATGGCTGATTCACTGGAAAGCATTAGAGTATCTGCCTGCTGTGCTACTGCTTCAGAAACATCGGCAACTTCGGCTCGTGTCGGTATAGGATATTCGATCATGGATTCGAGCAGCTGGGAGGCAACGATGACGGGTTTATTTAGTTGCCTGCATAGCTGAACCACCTTGTGTTGAACTGAAGGGACCTGTTCCAAAGGTATCTGTGCACCTAGATTTCCCCTGGCTACCATAACTCCATCTGATGCCTGGATAATCTGTTTCAAATTTTTCAGAGAGCCAATACTCTCTATCTTGGCAATGACATCAATTTGGCTGCACATTGAACTCTAAATAGTAATAAATTTTGTTTGTGGGTAGTGATGAACATTTAAAAGCTCTAAAGAAGTTGTATAATCTTCACAATTTATGGTTTACCTTCCTGTTGATTGGGAAGTTATATAACTCTTTAAAATCTTAATACCAAAGTCACCGCAATAAAATCAACACCCTCTTCAATACCAAAGTCAATATCCAGCCAATCCTGCAACAAACATAAACATTTCAACTTTTCATCAATTCTGGTGCAAAGTAAGAATGAGAAAAACTTTGCCTATGCATAAACCACCCACCTATAGTAGCAAACCTTTGAAGATATAGTAGGAAGCATGGCATTGCGCTCTCGAACCAGACTCCCATTTCTCCGGAAAGTAAGATTAGTACGAGGCAGTAACACCCCCGGATCGGTACAGTGGCAGATTACATCTGGACCAATCTTCTCAATCACCACAAACCTCACCATTCCTCCATCAAGCAGCTCATCACCAACCTTTACGTCTTTCATGCATGATAAAAGAAACCAAAAGCATTATAACCTAGTTCTTCACAACTTGAACACATAATTACTACAATCTAGATAGATGACTCTGGGATGTTCTGTTTTGGGAATAATTTAAACTAAATATATTGGTTAATCCATTTGCACAGCTTAGGAGATATTTACCTTCAGCAAAACCATCATAGTTAACAGTAACGGTGCGTTCTGGGCGCAAAGGCGGATCAAATGCCGAACAGTAAAAGTCCATATTTGAGCATCCTATATGTTAAACGATCAAATCTAATAAGAAAAAATCATTCCAGAAACCACTGGACTGGTTTTTTTAACTCCTCGGATTCGCTTGGTTATTTACCTCGGCTTTGGCCGATTCGGAGCCGTTTAGATCATCCATGTGGATCTCGCTACCTTCGGTGTCCATCATAACTGCCACGGCGAATCCTTTCTCTTCGTTTAGCTGCCTCACACGCCGGATCACGTTCCGGTGCCACTCACGGGTTCCATGGCACATATTGACACGCGCCACATTCATTCCTCCTACTGCCAGAGCCTCAATCTCTTTGGACTCGCACGTGCGAGGCCCGATGGTGCAAATGATCTTGGTCCTGCGTCTGCTCCTGAAACCATTCTCCTTCCGCTCCGCCTCTTTCGCCCAGTTCACTTCCATTCCCTCCGGCGACGCTACTGTTACTGGAGGCTCAGAAGCCGCGACTTTCAAATTTTCTCGCAAAACTGTCCTAGAACGTGCCGCCATCAATGGCTTTAAAATAGGTACGTGAAAGCGGGGTTTCATAACTGGCATTATGGGTAATTCGCGAGACTGGAATTGAGACGAGGAAGTCGAGAAGGCTAAGGACACAGACATGTTCGTGGACAAAGCAAGGGATTCGGTCGGGTTCTTTTCGTGGTTCTGGAAGAGAAGGACGAGAAGTGAGGTACGAAAATGTCCAGATTTTGAAAATATGTTTGGACAGTTATATATCCTCTTGAAATATGGCGCGGAAAATCTGTATCGGTAGATTCCGACAAAGATTCGAAAGTTTTTCGTTTACCCAAATTTATCAATTTATAATTTTCGTTATTTTATTACGTTCTCTTAAATTTTTATATTTGAATTTTATTAATGAATAATTCATAGAATGTCAATTTATAATGTTTTAGACAGTGAAAAGTATTTTTTTTTATCGATGATAGATTATTTATTATTGGGTCAAATACACAAATGATCCCACAATTATAGAATGATATTTTGTTGAATCATTTGATTATTAAAAGTTATAAAATAATTCATTGATTATAGGACACTATTTTATTGAGTCATTCGACCATTAAAAGTTATAAAATGATCACCCTACTATTTATATATTTCAAACTCGTATTTTTCTGTTAAAAATTTAAAGATCGTTTGAACTGGACGTTACTTATTGATTGAGATATAATAAAATCACATTTAATTATGTCTGATGCACCACTATTGCTTTTAATGATGACATAATATTTTAAGTACTAGTTGACGACATAATACAAATGGAGAGTCGATCAATAAAATACGTCACAAACTGTTTTGAGATCAGATTTTATTATATCGTAATAACGGAAAATGATTAGGTTGGAACATATAAATAGCGGGTGACCATTTTGTAAATTTTAATAGTTAAATGACTCAACAAAATAACACTGTATAATCAGAGAATTATTTTATAATTTTTAATATTAGAAAATAACACCCTATGGTTATCTATAGTCAGATAACCGTTCTTATACTTTACCCTTCGTTCTTTCGGTATGAAACCGAAAGTTGCTAATTGATGAGAATTTACCTTAAAAACTTGAGAATAAAATCTTTCAAAAATTCAACTATTATGTATTCATGTTTTATTATGAATGAAATTTTAAATTTGTTAATAAAATCAATAAACTGTAAAACTGTACGGGCCAATTTTTTTAAATTGTTTCGGCTGTTTTGGTCAACTTCTAAGCCCATATTGAAAACCAGCCATGTTCAATTTTAGGGTTTTTCTTTTCAGTTCAATGACTTCGCTGTACTTATCCTCTGCTATCATTTGTTTGGCACTGTGGTCGTTGCTTCACCTTCTGCTCATTGTTGCTGCCGATTGCACAGCTGCTACACTTTAAGATTTTCAGGTATATATGGATTTCTCTGCTTTTGGCTGGTGTTAATCCTCGTTTGATTGACTCAGTGCCTCTTTGGCTAGATTATATAACAAGGTCTACCCAAACTCGTTAATAGATAACTCTAATTTCTTCTCATATATAGCATTATGATTAATATTGCTATCCAAATTTTACATTAACTTTGGTACCCATTTAAAGGTTTTTTCATTTTCAGACTTTGAATTTCACTCGAGCTTCCTCAGTTCTTGATCTTCACCAATCGCTCTCTAAGGAATGGACCATCAGTTAACCCAAAACCTGGAGGAATACTCCGCTTCCTCGACTACCATAAAATTCGACCGCCCCATTCCGTTACTACGGGCCCCATCCAGGCCGGGACTTCCGATGACCCTCACCGGTCCATATATCCTCGCCTTCAAAGATCTTCCTTCCTGGGCCGCCGCATACAAATCCTGTGAATCCAAAATCATAGCTCAATGCGAGGAAGGTGCCAGAATCGGGTGTGCCATCACTGCTTCCAACAAGTGCAAACCACCCTGGTGGCAGTCCCTCACTGGCTGGAAATCGATGGACCTAAAGGAAAGGGAGCGCTGCGAAGACCGTGAAATGGAAGACTGTTTGGTTTCCGCCAAGGAAAAGTGCATGGGCTTCGCCAAGGAGCATGCCACGACGCCATTTTTGGATGCCAGAATCGCATTGGGTGAGGGGAGATAATGATAAAGTGGTCGGGAGGATGGTACACGCAGCGTCGATGCCGGAGGGAAGCAATGGGGCCATTTGATCGTGTCAGATAATTTGGGAGGACCCGAACCAAGGGTTACTAACTACAGAGCCAATCAATATCTGGATCTGGTGCTCAATTGCAGACTTGAATGGTCGGTCCAGAATTTTAATCGAATTTTTGAAGCAGTGGAAATGCAAATAAGCAAAACAAAGCTAAGGTATGTTTATAATGGGGTTTTTCCTAATGTTTTTCCACTTTTGGTTGCCTTATTTTGGACATAATACATATTCATGTTTCAAATTATTTAACCTTATGTTGAAAAAAAGAAGAAGAAAAACCAACATTGGCTTCGAATATGGGCGGAATGGAACATCTGGCCGGAAATGAATGATTTTCTTGTGGACTTTACATGTAGAGTGAACATTAAAAACGAAAGTATTATCTGTCTTTTGCATATAACAGGAGACCCTATGAAGAATTGGCACAACATTCACCAGAATCGCCACAAGGAACATGACCCATCCTCAAATTATGAAAAGGTATAACAATCAACACCATACGTCAAGGTTCTTTGCAATTCGAATGGTGATTCTTCAGCAGACATTGTAGCACATGAGCGACCCTCTTCAAGGATGTTTTGCGCCTTTGCTTTTTATATTCTTGGAATAATGTCCCGTACATCCCAAATTAATTGTCCAAATAATTTTTGATGTATTTAATAGAATGCTTTAATTCAAAAAAAATTAATATAAAGCTTAAGTGTCATGATTTTTAATCTTAAAAGCAACAAATTGAACATTTTGGGTTGGAATTGTTTTGGTTTTTGTTTGTATTCTGTAATGAAAAAAGCTCTAAATTTTTTAGATTTTTAGTATTGTTACATTTTTAACTAAAAATATAATACATGATGAATAGAATTATCAGTGTTTTCCTTAAATATAGTGTTGTAGTTATAAGTCTATATTAGTTATTTTCTTTTGGAGAAAAAGGACTATAAGGTTCATTAGCAAAATTGATTTTGGGTTCGATGTACTTTTCTTTTCAGCTATACAACTTGATTACAAATTGTTAGCAAATCAATCTATTTACACGCAAAACCTAGTATAGTAGAGGCGATATTTTTCAAAAGCAATATCCTCCACTTTAAAAAACACATACGATAAAGCCGTAGCCTGTCATTCCAAGTTCACAATGGAAAGCTGAAGCCACCAGGCAAATGCATTGTAATAAAGGCCCCAATGCTTGTAAATTTCACAATTTTGTCTTGTATGTAAGGTTTGAAGAGATTTACCTTTATATATTCTACAAATTATCCCAGCTGCCCTGTTGTCTTGCTTTGGCTTTTCGTGTTATCATTAACAAAAGAATCAGTGTTTCTGTCATAAAAAATTGGAATAGTTAAGGGTTTTAACATGACCGGGAGATAAATTCAGTCGATAGCTGTTTTAAGATTATCTAACCAGATTGTAAGAAGATTTTCAGGGTGGTAATGTCCACGACAGCAAATGGCCACCGGAATCACCGCTCAGTAACTGCTTCAAGTCAGTAGTTAAGAAAAGGGAAGTAACCGGGTGCTCATGAAACGTCAGTACCTTGTGGAGGAGCAATCTGTATTCTGGTGACTGGTCCAAAGGCAAGCCTCCTCCAGTTCCCATGCTAGTTGAGTTGCTTATCGTCTCAATGTCAGTGCGGTGAACCATTTGCCAGACCTTAACAGACCCATTGTGACCAGTTACGTACCAGTTTGTGTCCAACCAATCAGAGAAGGTGGAACTTGTCGCAGAGAGTATGTAATCAGATGACATCTGGGATGGGCTAATTACTGCTAGACAGCAGCCATTGATGCTCCAAACAGCAAGCAGAGTTCCAGCAGCAGTCATGATTTCACCAGTTAAATCATTCACATAGACTGCAGAAACTGGAGCTGGGAATTCAGGAAGTTGCCTAACAAATCGTAAGGAGCTAAGGTCCCATAAGATAGCTGTGCAGTCATCTGATCCGCTCACAATTAGCATATAAGACTGACTGACGTGAAGACATGATTTTGGATCTGTGAGCACAAAGCACTTTCTCTAACAGCAACCGACTTGAGGCACGTGGATTGTCTTCACTGATCCTCCAAACATAAACTAAACCATCATCAGTGCCAGTGACCAAAATGTGACCATCATGACTAAAGCCAGCACACTGAGTCTGGTTTCCTAAATGAAGATTCTCATGAGTTGAAAGGAGTCGATCTTGGTCAAAGCTCAAAAATCTCAAGCTGAGATCAGGAAACCCCCATGCTACATATTTTGAATACATTCTAGGTTTAAGCTTAGTGTTTGCCTTGCCAATAAGAATTCTCTCTTGGAAACTGACAATCTGAGTAATGGAATAAGAGCTTTTCCGTATTTCATGTGGAACAAGAAGAGTTGGTGTTTTCAACGGATGAGGAGGAAGCTTTCTGTCAGACCGCCTCTTAACATGGGGTTTGAGGAATAGCTGCTTAGGTGTCTGTCCAAAATGATTGATCTGAGCTAGAATGGAAGCTTTCATTGAAGGATCTGTAACTGTGTCTATGTCTACACTCCCCTCATATGTGTAGTGGTAGAATACATTGGCAGCTTTTTCAGCAGCCTGTCAGTTGTAACAACAATATACAGCATTACAAGCAGAACAATGAGAATATAACTGAAAAGTTAGGAATTTCAACATCTTCTTGAGTATGTGCGTCTGAGTGTCAGAATGCATTGCAATTTTAGAAAATTCAATGGAGGTGAAAATATGCTTCAAGAGAATGCCATTACCTACCTTTCCCCTTTGTTTATATCCAAAAATGAGATCTATCCAATTGTGCAGATTTCCTGAAACAAATTCAGATTCTAAGGCCTCTCTGTGCAACCGGATGAACTCCCTAGCACTGCCTTTAGCCCAAGGAGGTAGGTGAACGTCTCCAACCTAGGGAATATGAAACAACAGAAAACGAGAAGTTTGTTAGTCTTATAGCACCACAAACTTGGCAAATTGCAAAGAACATTTTATTATCACATTATACAACTCAAAGTTAAAAATTTTAACCAGGACAGACCTTTTCCCCTGACTGCTTCTCACCCAAGTCAAGACTGAAGCTATTTTCCAAAAACTCGGGCATGTAGAAGAATTCTGGAATGAGTTCTTTCACATCTGATGTGTTACCTTTCCCAGCAGCACTCAACCAAGTGTCTCTTATGCTACTGAAAAGGCGATCAGCATGATCAAACTGGCCACCCTGTAGTTTCTGATTTTCCGCACTGAATGGTGGCAAGCGAAGAAGATAAAAGAGAACAATGCCAGCACTAGAATAATGAGAACCATAATGAAATTTTGGGACCTCTGGGTCATCCCAGCTCTCATATCTGAAAGATTAAAGATAACAGGAATGGTAAGCATAACATAGATATACAAATTGACACATGCATCTCAGAGATCATGTTAAAAAAAGTAACATTCATCACGTGTATGACCTTTCATCTTAGATGACAGTGTAATTAGTAATTGCTAATCTGAATGTCACAAACTACGCGTGACAAAGGTAGGCAGCTATTTATTTGAATAGATACTGTGATTAACCTTGTCTTAAATTCCTCTTCTCCTTCTGGTGTCTGACAGCCCATTGGTTTCTCAAGCTTGCGGAAGGTATTGGGATCCGACAGGTCCAGATTATCACTCTCATAATTAGCAAGAACCCATGGGAAGACCGGGTATTGAGTAAGATCACTATATCCACGTCCTGCCAAGGTATTGAGATGCATGAGGTACTGGAAATTGCTGATTTCTCCATTTTGCCATCTCTTTGAGAAAGATTTAGCCGTTATTTTAAAGAGACGACCACCCTCGTAGGTTTCCTGTTTTGTTGTTCCTGAAATCATTGTGTCCAACCTGATGCAAGGAAAAGAATTACAAAGTAAACAGTCATCTTTAAGATTCAGAAGATAAAGGAAGAAATATTAGTAGTTAAATGATGAGGCATAAGCACAGCAAGGGCAAGTAAGCATAAAACAACTATGAGCTAAACAGGAAGGCTGGTGGATACATCTTTTTCTTTACCTTTTATATTGCAGTTCATTTTCGAGAAGCAGCTAATATCACATCACAAAGCTTACTTAAAAACAGAATTAAACAGAGAGAATAAATAAGTTCTAGATTCCATACATGATGTTTCTTGGTAGATTCACTGCAACCAGGTTTCTGAATACTTCATCTCTTTCTATTTTGTGAAACACCAGGAGATCATTATATCCATCCATGCTAAACAACTCAATAGAAACAGGACGTAGCTGGTAATCACGCCTTAAGATCTCATGAATGCTATCAAGCTTCCACATACGCCAAGGGTGTAAATTACCACTGGCAACCACTTTCTCCTTCCCCCATGCACCACCATTGTAGGCCCAGTACCTTCCTCCTACTGATGTGTTCGGTGTTGTGTTCCAGCATGAAGTTGATTTTGATTGACAATCCATACTGCCAGTAACATCCTTCTTAACACCCAATGCCTGATCAATAACAGAGAGCTCATCTTCAGATTCTTTCTCACATATGCAGCCAGAATCATCAATGTAAAAGCTCTCTATTACATACAAGCAAAGTTCCCCTATCAGAAATATACCATCAATTTTGTCTAGACCAACTACTCTCTCACAGTTATATCTGAATCGTATCTTTTCCAGAGGTTCTAGATAAGGTCTGATTAAATATTCACTGTCATTTTGCAGCTCCTTGTCTAATTTATCCTCATTAACTTTGATTTCGTCAATCCTGATGGAAGGCGCCAACCTTGGAGATTCAACTTCAGATCTTCCTGGTATGCTTTCCGTTGTAGGGAGAGAAACTGCACTAGATTTTGCACCATACTCGAGGGCTGAGTGAAGACTGACTTCAGTTACACTGCTAGCTTTGTCATCATTCCAGCCATTTTTAACAGAAGTTACATCCTTCATGTCATCTGGTCCTTTATACAATGACTCATCAGATAGTTCAATACCATCTAAAAGATTGAAAATAGCTTTGGAATCAGAATCAGAAACATCTGGACCATCCTCATGTTTGACCTTGGGAAGCTCCATATCACCTAATTCCAACTGTCCATCAAGAACATTTTGAATACTGTTAATTCTTACTTTACAGCACTCAAGCTTTTTGCGCATCCTGTATGGGCCCTCAATGGGGCAAAGTTGCCATTCGGGATCTTCAGAAGAAGAGGGTTTACGGATTGGGAATATTCCACGTACATGTACAAGTTGTTGAAGATGGGTTTGCCATTCGCTCTCAGCATGGATAACCCACCCATACTTATCCTGACGGACAACTCTCAACTCAGTAGACATTGTATCACGAACCCCCTCCAACTTACACCTCCTTTCATTCACTTGCTCCCTATGTTTTAGTTCGACCTTTGAAGTATCTCGTGATTTTCTTCCCATTTCCCTCTTTCGACGGACGTCCATGCCTTTAATTCTTACTCCAGGAAATTTTGTGTAGCCAGAAATATACTGCATCCACATTATTGCCGCACATTGCTCCAGAACCATTTTTACCCTATCTTCAGAGGTCCAAAGCCAGTCAAAGAAAGCGGATAAGTTTCCAGTCAACAATTTGTCAAAACCACCATGCAGTACATCTATGCGCTGCCCTTTGTAAGGTTTAGAGACAAGCAAGTCTTCAAGAGAAGCTTTTCGATGAACCAGTAAATACTTGACAACATCAATTGCCAGGTTCTGTACATTTTGCCTTTGGTCACGAATAAGACAAATTAAATTTACACAGAGACAGCAATTTAGATCAATATCAAGATTGGTGGGACAGAATATTATTCGTCGGTGAGCAAATAACAACTGCAAAACCTTGCAGATATCAATTCCTTGATCTTCTTCTGAAGAGTTAGTGGGTGATCTTTTCTTAGGTTCCGGTAGTAGACCCAACGAGAAAAGGAGATCTTCTTCCCCTATGGTAACGAGGAATGGTGGTAGGAAGCAATACAGTATCATCCTATTTGTATTCTTAAGAATTGAATGTACGTAAGCCTCAAGTGGTCTGTTTTCTCTTGAAATAGACAAAAGACCCTTTCCAGTAGGAGCTGCTTCTTCAATTCTACCATCTTTGTTTGCTAATTGCAACATTGATAACAAAAATTCTAGAGTTTTCAGTACAGCAGCAGGTTGGGGGAAAGCGCCCATGTAAACACGATCAACAATCATCCAACATAATGCATCTAAGTTTGAGGACCATTTGATCTTATCTAGCTTTTTCTCATCTTCTTCATCATCATGCAACAGACGCCTTTCAATGAAGTTCATTAGTCTGCAAAGAAACAAACCTTGAAACACCAACATAGATTCAGCACCAACATATAGTGGAACCATTTCCAAGATGTTCTCTACAAATTGCGCTGCTTTTATTTGCTCTGTTGAAATGTCAGCCAGTATTTCAGCTATAAAATCCAACATTGCAGCTGCCCCACCAGAACAAGGGCCACCACCGCCAGAATCATCCATTTCCAGAAGGATCTTTGGAATAACTGAAACGGTAGTATTTGTAGCAGTTGGCACTAGAGAACTCAAGTCAGAGGATTGATCAATATAACCAGTGAACATAGAAGACCCCATGAGATTTTTTAAATCAATATTGCTTGAAGCTGAACTTAACCACGGGGTCTGAGCAATAGTGGGAGACGGACAAGGCGTAAGGGGGATTGGAATTGAGTTTATCAGAGAAAATGCGAGAATCTGGACTAGAAACAGATACAGAACTCTGTGAATCTGGTGGTTTAATTGCCTGTTTGTATTTGATACTATGGTGGTTAACCTCATTTGTGCTGAGGAAGAAACCCGATTAACACTATCTCCATCCATGCCCTGATTAACTTGGACATCTTCCTGCAATTCAGAGAAAATGCGAGAATCTGGACTAGAAACAGATACAGACTCTGTGAATCTGGTGGTTAATTGCCTGTTTTGTATTGATACTATGGTGGTAACCTCATTTGTGCTTGAAGTGGAAGAAACCCGATTAACACTATCTCCATCCTATGCCCTGATTAACTTGGACATCTTCCTGCAATGATTTGTTCATATCTCTTGGGATTTAGTGGACTTCATCTCTTCTTTGTCTTCAGCACTGAAATCTGATGGAAGCACTTCTTCTGAAGTTGAACTGATCTGCGGTTGAGGGAAGCTTCCAGCACTAGTAGAAGTCTGGCAGACTGTTCCTGTTCTACAGGGATATAGAGGGTGTATTTTGATAACTAGAATCATCACAATCATTTAAATTATTCTCTTCTGTCTTTTTGAACACTCTCTTACCATCTTCACTGTTTGACCAGACCTGCAAGCCAAATAACAGAGCAAGATTACTGTGGAGTCAGATTAGAGATCATATAGCATATTATATACATTATGTATATATGTATATATTAGATACGCAATATGTGAAAACCAAAACGTAGAACAGGAAAAGTATGTAATGTGAATTGATCTCAGACAAACCTAACACAAGAAAAATAGAGGTTAACAACATTCTAGAAACTCAGCTCGTCTGCAAACGACAGAGAAAGTACGACACATCTTTACCAAATCAACCATGAATCTCAGAACTGAAGTTGTAGCAGCAGGAGCAGATGCGTCCACCCATTAGTCGTGCAGCATATGTCTTGTGCATGAGAGAGCTTCACCCTGAAGCTCCTCAGTCATGTCTGCATCTTCCTCAACCAGTTCTGCCACAATTTGGACAAAATTTCCAGTTTGGCAGGCAAGAATTGACTGCGTGCTCAGCCTATCGAAGGTGGTTTTTGCCATAGCAATTATAGACTCCAATAGTTCTACAAATTTCAACTCCACATGGCCTCCATCACTTGGAACGAGTGCATGAAAATCCAGCATACGGACTTCTGGTAATCTTGGATAAACTGGCTTCCCAAAGATGAGGCAGAACAAGATATAATATATATCAGGGGAATCATAAAAACTAGGAAGCACACGAATAAGGCCATGATAACCCAGTTGTGCGAAATTTTAGAGCAAAAGTAGGTGTAGAAGCCATACGTACACCAAGAATAGTCATGATCCATCTCTCATACTAGTAGGATGAACAGCTTCATCAAGAAAATAAGTTATTAATTTAGAAGAGACCATTTTATGAAACTGTTCAAGCATCTCTTCTGATTTGATGGTAACTTGAAGATCCATAAGCATCTCCAAAAGCAAATTCCTAACAATAACGTGCTTTCCCATGGGCTCACGCATTATTTGTTGCAGTGGTTTCATCTCAGGTGGATCAAATGACATAATAACAAACCTAACAACATTTTCAAGTTCAGATGCCAGGAATCCATCTTCCAATATGACCCAAGGACTGCAACTAATTTTCCATAACAGGAACTTCAACATCACCACGCTGCAAAGTCACCAATAAATGTTGGACAAGGTGATTTGACGAAGAAACTGTAAGGTTGTGATTCCTATACCAATGCACGGACACAAGTTGCTCTAGAAAACTTAGCAGTGCAATTTGAACAGGAATTGGGGCAGTTACCCACAGTGTCCAGTCCAGCAAAACATGTTCTACCGTATCAGCATTTGACAAGACAATACAGTTTGAAGTTTCAGCTGGCATATCAGCATTTTCTAGCTCTGAAGTATGACTGAACGAATCCTTCAAAGAAGAAAAATCATCCATGTCAAACTGAGTTCCACCTAAAGTTGTTCGATCACGGAACTTTGATAAATTAAGATCCTCAAAGCTAGTTTCTTGAATTGTTTCAGTAGGTGATGCAAAAGTTTGAATACATTCCAATTTACTTGGTTCAGAAAATGAAGCTTCACATGCAGCGATCTGTAAAATTATCTCAAGACACTGCATATCAAAGGATGACATCCTTTGACGCAGAAATAGCTAGCAAATGGTATCCTCTGTATGTTTGCATGTCTTTGATGTTTTGAGGATTCTGATGAAGTGCACAATAAGAAAGGACAGGGCCATATGGAGCATCCCTAGTCCCAGCAGCCTCAACAAGGGCCAAAATGACAGACATCCCACCAACAGAGCGGATCGTATCACCAATAACACATTGCCTACAGATATAGATATCCCCACGAAGTCGTCCAAACCGTGGTATACCTGCATAGACAGAAAAAGAGAGTAATTAAGAGAAGACCAATTTTCACAATGATTACATGTAAAGGGAGAAATGGTTATTCACCTCCAAAGGGCGAAGCAGCTGCTGACAGAGGATCAACCAGATTGAGCATGTAAGATGTCCCAGATGCTCGAACAGCCTCCGTACAAGTTCCGTCAAATGCAAATATGAGTTTTTTACCTGAGAGTTCGAATGAAAGATTTCCTAGTCTATCTAAATCCCAAACAATTCCACTTCCGTCTGCCTTAGAGTCTCCCTGCTTGTTTGCACTGTCAAGCTTCTGTGTTCCAGGAGGTACAGACAAGTCAGCATCTAAAGTGTCTAATATAGCCATGCTACCACCCCCACAAGCCTGGTAGGGGACAAATCGGAGAAGATCTGCATCTTGGAAAATCCCTCTATATCCCCTACCCAGGATGTACATGAAACATATACAACCTGGTGTGAGCACTTCCTCAAAAAGATAGCAAGAGCGGAGTCTCCATGTCAAGTCACTAATCCTTGCAGCGGTAATTGGAGTCCCAATAGTTACCTGCAAAGGTTTTCCCATGGGAGAGGGTGAATATCCTAATTTTCCTGTTTGCATTAGCTTCCCATCAAGATAGACATAAGCAATACTATCTTGGAAAAATCCAGCAAGAGCATTTGGTTTGCTATGAACAATAGCAAGGTGATGCCACTGGTCTTCCTCAAGCTCTAATCCGGAAAATGACAACGAGCAAGAGTTTCCGGTCGCAAGGGTTAGAACTCCATCCTCTTGGAGATAAAGTTCAGCATAGAAAGTATTGTCACTATTTACTGTACCAACAGAAAATATCCAGAGAACTTGCTGATCATGATGCTGCCCATTTAAACCAGTTTTCTTCTTGGAAAGACAAGATTTGGAAGGCTCGGTTTCTTTTGTTTGTGTTTCAAAAAGTTTTTAAACTGAAACCAACAGACAAATGAATAACCAGCAGCAGGAGGCCAAGATCTTTCTCCAAGAGGCACCTGAAAAGAACCATGTCCAACCTTGTTCATCCCCATTTCAACAAATGGAGCCAAAGAAACAGTTTTCAAGCCCATATCTTCCATGAGAATTAACCTAGCCATCATATTAACAATTGTATGACCGGATTTTATCAGCCTTGTTTGCAGAATATATCTTGCAAGAGTTCGGAGTTCAGATGCAGACAACCTATCCACAGAAATACAAGATTCAGAAATAATAGAAGACAGAAAAATCAAATAAACTGAGTAAATGTAATGATTCCCACAAGGCTTACCTATAAGCCCCTAGAACCTCAACTATCTTCAACGCATAAGACAAGAAGAGTGATGAGCCTGAAAGGAAGGGGTGAATTGTCTCCAGTACAAGTTCCACACAACCTAAATACATTGGAAAAGGAAATAGTAAGAAGCTAATGTCTAGGACTAGGATCAAAGATTATGAAGGAAATAGAAGACTCTATCTCACCTACAGAGGTGAGATTTTCCAGATTGAAGGGCCCAGAACGAGCAAGCTTCTCGATAAGATTCAGCACTTCTAACTGCACTTTAGGAGTAAAAAGCAACACCGAACGGATCAGAACTCTAATAGAACCAGCATTGTATACTCGCTCCTCATTAGGGTTAGCCAAACCAGATTGGGTGATCAAAGGAAAACTTGTGAACTTATTTTCACTCATATTTGCTAATGTGGCACTCTCCAGTGTTATGAAAGGTGGAAGGGTAATTTCAAGAGCAAGTTCTAACAACAGCTGAATCACTTGCGTCTCATAATCCACACAGCAACTGAGACTCTAAGAGAAGATCATAAAAAGTTTGTGATGATATGATAGCATGCAACTTTGTCCTGTTAATGGCATTACCACACACAGCAACTGTCATAAGGCGCAATAAATATGTGAACTCTTTGATGCAATCTAGAAAAGAAGATTCTTCTGAGCGTCCTTCATGACCCTGAAAACTGTGGAGGGTGGTCAGCAGAAGAGAAAATCCACTGGCTTCACCAAAGACTCTCCGAGCTGCACTATTTACTCCTAGAATGCGCCACAATGCTCCCATTGTATCACATTTCACATCACTTTGAAGCTTGTATTGATGCCCTGAAACGCTTGTAACCATTCCACTCTTTATAACTTCAATAAGTACTCCTAATTCTTCAGGATGACCCTGAAAAGAGAGTTTCCAATTTGGTGTTAACAGCTGTACAGGCAGTTTACTCATTCTCAAAAGCATGCTAGGGAACGAGAACATTTAGCATTACACTGATTGGAAGCGAAGATTATGGATGCTCTTTATGGTAAGGGAAAAAAAGCAAAGGGAAGAAAGAACATTCTTGCATGTAAGATCTATTCAAATTTAATCTATCAAGTGGAAAAGCATGCATCTTAACAAACCTGCATAACATCTTCAGTGATCAAACATGACAATGTCCGGAGGACCCCCGGACGATGAACACTGGACACCAGGAAGGGGAGAATAGTGGTCACACCATTGGCAGATCGGAATGAAGCTTGGCTAGCTTCAGCATCCTTTACTAATGAAACCATACAGTCCCATGCAATTGCAATTGTTTCCTCAGCTTCAAAAATAGGTAACTTCCCTGAACCAGATTCCTCAAACTTGGGTGAAGTAATAATAACACCCTCAATGTCGAAGTGTTTCTTGAAGCTTCTAGAGCTGGATTTTCCCTCCAACTGGTTGGCATTAACATCATGTTGGTTTTGACCCAAAAGCTGCTTCAAACCACCCAACAAGACTTCCAGAACACCTACTTCTCTTAGAACTTTCTTGTATTGTTGATCAAAGGATAGGAGCTTTACGAAAAAAGAAAGGATGGTGACCTTTAACTCTGATGTAATTGGTTGCTGTAATAAGCAACATAGAGACAGCAGTTCTTGTTCAGGAGCACAATTCACTACAGTCACAGAATATTCAAGAATTTTCAAGATTTTCTCTTGCAACGATGATGGAAATGCAGCCATGTTTAAGATCAAGAGAGGAACGGTCCTCACTTGCTGACACAACTTGTAGTTTTCAGGATGACTTAAAAATATTTTAAACATTCTGTTTAATACTTCTGCCTGCAGATTCATGCTATCTGCCTTGAGAAAAATGTCTTGCAGCATCTGGACAGCTTCAAGGTCTTTTACTCTATTATTTTCCTCTTCCCAAATTTCATCGCCAAGACTTTCGGTAGATAAAGTTTGACTTCTGCTATGGCCACTGTCCTTGGTATAAGAATATTTGGATCGTTTGCCATCAGCTGGACCCGTATGAGCTAGGTTAACAAGAATATCAAGTAGCCTACTCAAAGTGGGTGAGACATGTTCAGAAGAAGGGTCCTCTTTTTCCATGAAATCCCTTTCCCGTACATCATCAAAAGCTTGAGCTCTATTAGAACCACTATCTTTGTCAGTCTGATGCTTCAAATAAATAGATTCAATGCCTTGATTCTCTGGGATGGTGGAAAGAACTAGAGCAAACTGAACAAGGAAGTGGTAACCATGGGCATTATGTATATCTTCCCTAAGACTGAGACCACCAGCCTCTACAAGTCAAAGTTGCATGATATCAACAATAACTCAAGGCAAGGGAAAATAAGAATCATTAAACACAAGAACAGCCAAAATATTATCCTTGGAAAAAGCCAAGACCACAAAACTATATGATTAGTCAACAAAATCAATACACTAATCATACTTTTATTAAAAAATTCAACAAGGGAAAATCACAATCCACTTACCTTGTCTGTATGACAATTCCACGCATTCAAGTAACAAGTCCACAATACCAACAGTGTAGGTAGGGTCCCCACAATCTGGATTAAAGTCTTTGACAGCCACTAGAAGAACTTTTATCTGCACAAAAGGACAACATAAACATAAATAGGACACATCTAATGAATGGAAAGGAAACATATAAGAGACAAAATACGTAGCTGAGAAACATATAAATAAGAAGATTGGTGAAAGAAACAAAATATGAGAAAACAAAGTTAACAGCTAAACTTTTTTTGCATGGTGTGAATAAGAGAGATCCCAAAACAAAAGGAATAAGAGATGCCATCACAAACCAAAAGCAAAAATTAGCCATGCAAAGACATGCCTTCGTAGTGTCTCAAATGCTGTGTGGAAAATGATATAACCCGCAGTGGCCCTGACCCACTGCATCTTAACAAAAGCATTACTATTTCATTCAGTTAAAATGTATAACTGTATGGTCTAAAGAAAAATAACATGTCAAACTGATAATAAAGGTTTAAATCCTTCTGGCGTTCTACAAAGTTTTTGTCTTTAGATGGACAATATCCATGATAATGTGATTTGACACCAATCAACATTGTTACTTTGCATACTCGGATCCTTCTTTCTGATGAATCAATGTCTTAGCAACAACTATACTGAAATAACCAACGACAGAAAACTTAAACTCTAAAATAATAAAGTAGCCTATCAAATGAGTTTACCATTGGCACTGGACTTGAGTTGATTCTAGAAAAGAGACTTAAAGAATCATCCTGCAGTAACTCCCAAAAAAAGTCACCTCAACTTTTCACTCTTAGTTACTACAGAGATTCTACCCTCACTTAAATCATGGACTCCACTACTTTCCAATTTTTTTCCTAGATTTCTCTAGTAAATACCCAAGTTGATGAATAATTCATATCTTGTTGCCTGTATAATTCTTCACTGTTTCACCCAAATCAATTGTAAACAAGCCTTAAATGTGCATCCAAATACATGGTCCAATGACTAAATGTTGACAAATTAGTAGCTTATCTATTTTTAGGAAATTAATTACTAGACATTTTTTCTTTTCTTTGTATACAAGCTTATTTCCTTGGGTACAAGTTTAGACTCAGATAGTTTACTCTACTAGGATAAATATTACTATTGTACTTTTTAGTTTAATAATTAATAGAAAAGAATTTTCTCATAATATTTCCGTTCTCCACCTAAAATTAACACTAAAGATTCTCTAAAGCATAGGAAACCATAGTTAAAGAAGAAGAAAAACAAAAGACACGGCATCCAGCAAGCAATCTATGTTCTTTAGATAGGCTTTTAAAAATTTCTAAAAAGGCATACCAGATGATGCTTGCGTATGTATCGGGCCATGCTTCCATTATCATTGACCAGAAGAAGGCCAAGGATCTGATAGGACAAGAAAATTACAAAAGCTTATATTTGGCATATGAAGCTCATATGAACCTCCATATTGTTGAACCTATTTTATATTAAAACACAATAAATTTACCTGCATAGCATGTTTATGAAGTTGTATGATGTGCGGGGAAACAAGACCCTCCTTATACCTAGAGAAGGCAAATAAAGATCCATTAGAAACAATCTGAAACAGCAACATTAGAGAATCATCCTCAGTTAAACTCTGTGCTGCTGAAGGATAGCTGGCTAACACTTTCATAATATGCACAATGATTCCTTCTACCTGAATGAATAGCAATAAGTTTACAGTCAAACAAAAAGGCATGATCCATGTCCCCTCTGTTCAAAGTATTCAACTTGTGAACAGATGGTGCTGTAGATATTTAAAAAGACTAATAAACTACCTCAACTAGGCAAGCTTGCCCAAAATCAGCAACTGAATCCTTTTCAATTAGCAATGATTCCTCGGAATTGGTAATTGTTTGCTTCTTATTGGCCTCATCATAACTCAAAAGAGCATTCAGAATTTGAATGAGACAGCAAAATATCCCACAATCAAGGAGTGCTTGTTTATCAAAAGGCTACAAACAACAGAAATAATAATAACAATTAACAGTGTCTAAATATCAGAATGAACCGAAATTAGGATATCAAGTGTAATGCAAAATTTTAGCAGGTACTTATCCAAATAAATCAATTTACTTCAAAAGTCATGTGTAATTATCATTAGAGGTCGGAGTATCTATCTTCTGGTGGAAAAAACACAAGCTTTTTGTGTCGGATAATGTTATAGCATTTGAGTTTTGATAAATAACTATGTATGAGTGTTTTGTTGTTAGTGAACTGTTTATCAGATAACTGTATGTATATCATATATGTTATTCAATGCCCCTTACGAAAAAAAAATAATTTCACTAGAAAAGAACAAAGCATTTGAGTTTGTAAAATTGTGCAAAGGAAAGAAGGTTTTTGGGCGTAGATGGGTTTTTTTTCTGTGAAATACAAGTCTGATGGTTCAGTAGAAAGGTAAAAAGCAATATTGGTTGCCAAAGGCTATTACCCAAACCAATGACATTGATTATTTGGAGACTTCTGATCCAGTTGTACAAATGAATGCGATTCGGGTTCTATTGTTTTTAGCTACCAATCTAAGGGGAACCTACAACAATATGATGAGAAAAAAGCGTTTCTTCATGGCAATTTAAAAGATAAAATTTACAACGAGATTTCTCCTGGTTTTAATCTAAAGAAGGAATGGTATGAAGTTGAAGAAATTCTCTATGGACTTAAACAATCACCGAGGATTTGGTTCAGAAGATTTGCAAATGTAATGATTACCTTGGGATATAAACAAATCCAAAGAGACCATACTGTCTATGAGGCACTCGAAGACAAAGGGAGCAACAATATTGTTGGTATATATGGATGATAAAACGTAACAGGTAGTGACATAGAGAAGATGCAAAGTTTAAAAGAATGTTTGCCTAAAAAATTTGACCTCAAAGAACTTGGAAATTTGAAATACTTCCCTGGTGTTGAAGTAGCACACTCAAAGTAGGAAATTTTTATTCTACAGCAGAAGTATGTAATTGATTTGTCCAAAGGAACATAAAATAATGGGCTGTAAGCCGGTTGATACACCCATTAAGTTCAATGATAGACTATGTGATACTTTAGAAGATTCGTTTGTAGATAAAAGGTCTTACCAAAACCAAAACTTGTCGGAAGATTAACATATTTGAAATATACAAGACCCGGTATCACATTTTTTGTGAGTGTAGTCAGCCAATTTATGCACGATCCTAAGGAGATGTATCTTAAAGTGGTAAATAGAATTTTGCAGTATTTAAAGGTTAATCATGGCCGGGGAATCTTGTGCAAGAAAGGAGGAAACACGACTTTAGAAGCTTATACTGATGCAGACTATGCTGAATCATTAGTTGATAGAAGATCAACTTCAGGCTATTGTACTTTCCTTGGAGGCAATCTAGTAACTTGGAGGAGTAAGAGCAAAATGTAGTAGTAAGATCAAGTGTAGAGTCAAAATTCAGATCAATGGAACTTGAAATATGTGAGTTACTCTGGTTGAAAAAATTCTTGATGATTTGAAGATAAGATTGGTAAGTTGGGAATTTCAAATGAGGTTGTAATGTGGCAAAAAATCAGAATTAAGATAGCACATAACCCAGTGAACATGATAGAACCAAACATTTGAAGTAGATAGACATTTTATAAAGGAGAAACTCGACAGTCGACAGTGAACTTATTTGTACCCCATTTGTTTCAATAAAGGATCAACTAACAGATATATTTTATTAAAGGGCAGTCAATTAGTGTGTTTCAAGCCATTGTTAATATGCTTGGAAAGGAGGATATCCATTCACCAACTTGAGAGCACTGTCAGATAATGTGGTAGTATTTGAGTCCTGATAAACTGTTGTGTGAGAGTGTTTTATTGGATAATTGTATGTATATCATATAGGTTATTTTGTTTTTTAGAATACTAGTTACGGATAGGCTTACTTAGTTTGATAAGATTGAGATCGTGTGTGTATAGGAACTGTAAAGCTGTATTTTGATAGTTTTTAAAAGGAATCCTAGTAAATAGTTTTCCAAATTTGCAAGCAAGAAATTTAGTCAACTATAGAATATCAAATTATGCCATTAAAGATGAGTGAAATATACCCCAGACACAAGGACTTCAACAGCAGTCATCAAATTTGAACCAGTACTGATGCCATCCTGCAGATCAGCAATCATGAGCTAATTCCAAAAGAGGAACCTAGAAAATAATATGGTTAATATATATTGAAGATATAAAGCACTTGGATCCCAAAACCAAACCTTTGTGGCTTCAGAGAAAAACTGTATAACTTGTGATACATCCAAAGATCTTATTTTGCTGCTAATTTTTAACTTTTCAATACCCGTCACAAATGCTCTTCCCACAACAAAGGAGAATTTATGTGTTTCTACTAACCTGTAATGAATTAAACCTCTAAATGTCAGTCAACATGCTCAATGTTGGAGAAAGTCAAAAGGCAGCAATATTATTTGAATAAAGAATAAAGATAATTCACAATTTCCTTTTCAGATCTAGAGCCAAAGCAGATGAAAACATAAACTTCAAATCTTACAAATAACTAACTCTAATAGCAACAATCTTGATGGGAAATTTGTTTTAGGAAGGATAAAACTATCCAACAAAAGAGAAAAAACAGTGTATATAGTTTGAATTATAGAATGTTGTACTACTTTTTGTGGAATGGATTTTAGATAATAATTAAAGCCAGCAAAAATCAAATAAGATGATAGAAAGAACAAAACTATTCTGATTGCAACCAGATCAAGTCACAGCAAGAATGAATTAAAAAGTATAACCAAATATGAAGATGTGGTTAAAATAAATATGAAGACTATGGATTTAGATGCCCAAATTTTGTAGAGTATGGCTAACCATGCATCAAAATAGTTTCTGATGGAACATGCAATGTTATACTAGTACTGAAGTAGAGTTTCACAAGAATTCAAACAAGTTGATGAGTAGTGGATAGAACAGAGCAACTACGGAAGCAGTGCTTAACAACATGAACTTGTACCGAAAAGTTTTGCCCAACGATCAGAAAACAGAAAAGTAGTTGATAAATACTTTATACAAAGTAAACCATGTGATGTATGAAAATAGGCTGGAGGATGAGCATTCATACTGGGTGACTAATTGAGCTGCATTAGCATGCTGCTTGACTAATCTACAAAAAGCATCTACAGTCAAACTCAAGGCCATTTCTTTCTCCTGCAAAGACAATACAAACATACGGGAATTTGTTACGGTACATAAAAAGACTGCTAGGAATTAGAACGTCGATGAGAATGAACCTTTTCAGAATTGGATGAGCCGAACTCTTCCCAAAATCTATTAAAGTCCAATTCCAGTTCATGTTTGTCTCTGCTGTAACAAGAAAAAAAAGGGGGGGGAATGACAATTTAGAAAGAACCATCACTTCCATAGAGAAAAAGAAACTGGAAGCAGAGAACAGAAGGCACTTTAACACAGTTTTTTAAGTATAAAAATGTAATTCAATAAATAAAATAAGCAAACGTATGAAAAAAAATCTATTCACTTAAAATACAATCAAATAAAAGGAAATTTACAAGTATAATTATAAGATTAATTACTGCACAACCAAAAAAAAATCAAAAGAAAGAGTATAATAAAACAATTGAAAGTTAAACCTAATACGGAACACCAACTATTTTACGTAATGTCATAAACTAAGCATTAGTATAATGAGACTAACAAAGAAGCAGATTACCACTGCACTGCTATCAACTTCCAACTTTAAAGAGAACAGGATGCAGTAGCACAAAAAAGGATCTTGCTCTGTCATAAATAGGCTCATAACAAAGCAATTTAGCAAAAAAGCGAAAAAGAAACATAAATAAATAAACAATGCACATGGAATAACTAAAGTTATACTTCCAATTGCAGGAAATACATTGGAAATAAACGTTAAAGGCAGTCAAATGCAAGTAAAGCAAATAGAAGAATTTCATTTATAAAATGAAAATAAATGAAGCGTGCAACTTTTATTCTACCAGTTCACTTCATAAATTAATCATCATTTGCCGATGAAAATGCAAAAAAAAAAAAAAATCATTCAAAAGGAAGAAAAAAAAGTGAAAGCAATAAATCAAACCTCGAAAGAGAGGAAGCGAAGTCGTAATGAGTTGATGAAGCATTGGCATCACAGTCAGAAGAGGGAGGAGAAGAAGCCGGAGATGAAGGAGAAGAAACAGTGGTAGCAATGGAAGCAGCAGTAGAAGATTGAGGTAAACCGACCTTTTCCTTGATTTCCTTAAGCAATGTTGCCCATTTCATTGTTTTCCTTTCGATCCTTGAATTATTTACGTGCGCCTCCCTCCTCTCATCCTACGCTGCTGCAATCACCAGATCATTACATTCCAGAAATCTCGTCAACAATCATTCCACCTCCAATTGTTTCCCCCAACCAATACAACAACTCCAAACCGAAAATTAAAACCAAAGCAAATCAAACCAAAAATGGATAATTAAATAATTAGAAATTCAAATGAAACCATGAGATTACAGCTGGAAAAAATCAATTAACATGTCGATCCAATTAGCGTGAAGCTTCAAAGCATAACAGAATTCGCGATCCATCTATTATTTTTTCTTTTCCTTCGTCTTCTTAATTGTTTTCTACTTTCAAATTTGCAATCGTTTGTTATTTTGAAGAAATTGTGATTTTTTAACCCTAAAACAGATGAGAACTCACGATAAATCGAGATTTCGGTTAGGAAAAAAAAGAAAATGATGATCATCATCATCTCTCAAAATGACTCTCTCTCTTTTCCCCTCTCTCTCTTCTTCGGTGTTTCTCGAACGGTCACTTCGCGCCTTTTTTCTCGCCAGTTATGTCTTTCCTTGCAGCCTTTCTTTTTCCATTAAATTAATAAAATAAAATAAAATAAATATATTTTATTTTTAATAATCTCGTAATATTTTTTGGTAATATAGATCATATATTAATAGTGATATAAAAATTATATTAAATTCATCATAATATTATAAAAATATTTAATAAGATAATTATAACATTAAAGAAAAAAATATATATAAATGTCTTATTGTTGTTTTTAAATAAAGTTTAAATATTTTTAAAAATTATCCCTACTTTTATTATAGTTTGAATATTTTTTTATAACATTAACTACCTTTTTATTTAATGGTTTTTCTAATGTAATATTAAATAAAAACAAATCATTACGTAGCAAAGTATATGTTACAATAAATATATTTTTTTGAAAGTAAAATAAATTTGAGAAAATATACTTATGGAAAATTATGTATAAAATAAATACAAAATTAACAAAGTGATGCTATAAATTGCTAATACTATACCTCACATATGCTTGAATGAATTCCGAATTCAAATCTCCCGCCAATCCCGTGTTTCAGTTATGATGGGTTCCAGCTTCCAAGAATTACAACCTTACCCTCTCTCCACAATGTTTCATCGTTTGATTACAAGTCATTAGAGTTTGATTTTGTTAATATTTAATTTTAATTTTTAACAATTCGAAATAAATTGTTTGATGTATGAATTGAAAAATTCGTGAGTAATTTAAAAAATAACATATTAAAATTTTTGAATTTTTAAATTAAATTATTAAAAATAGTAGTAACATTTATTTGTTGTTTTTTTTGTAAATACAGTAAAAAGATTTTCGTGTACTTAAGATTCAAGTTCGAACTTGAATTCAAGCTTCAAAGGAGCTAAATATGATAATGTTTCGAGTTCAAGATTTTTCGAACTCAAGTCGAACTTTAAATTTTGATTTTAAATTCGAGTCAAACTTAACTTTGAATTTTTTAAGCCGAATAGAACCCAACAATAATTGAAAGAGATTCATCTCATTTACAGATATAGGTCCACTAATGTACAAGAGGAGTTATTCATATAGTCTCAGTAGTGTGATTCTTAGGTTGAGAGAATCACTTTTAAAATAGGTCTTTATAAAATTTCATCTATAATAATTGATTAATAAATCGAATGTGAATAGTTAAACCAAAAGATAGTGTGGTTCTTATGAACATGAGTAGTCGAGTGGATCCTACCGGCATGAGCTATACATATCAATTTGATTTCCTTTTAACAACAACAACAACAACAAAATTCAATTCCCATATGCAATGGGATAAGGGGGAGGTAGGGTAGTAGGCTGCCCCCAACGCCAGGTTGAGAGTAGCTTCCGTGGAAGACCTCCGGCAGTTAGAAAATTAAAAATATAGATAAAATGCAAAGCATGTATAAATAAATAATACATAGTTGAACAATATTCATATGCAGTATAAATATCATTAATATCATACGCGTTTGAAATGGGAAGTAATCCTGCAAAAAATCCCTGCAAAAAAAATCTTGCATATAGACAGAAACGTAAGACCCGACTAAATTTAAAAGTGAAGAGAATATTACACAGAAGTCCACGATAGCAAGCCCAGTTCTAAGCCTTCATAAATACCAATAACAGAAACGTATAAAAAGTAGAATTCATGGAAATTACTACAAAGACATTAAAAGAATACAGATATGATACACCCTAGAGATGTGACTCACACTTAGTCTCCATACTTTCCTATCAGATGTCATGTCCTCGGTAAAAATTAAAATCGGTTGTAATTGCTGCCCTACCTTCCGCATTCGCGACGTAGTATGTTCCCTCCTTTTTAACTTTATTTTTATTATCGTATAGAATTTGAAATGAAAAAAACCTTCGTTTCTTCTCTATATCAAGATATCTAATCTTTATTCCATTAGGTTTATTTTTCGACTGTTATTTTCTTTTTGTGTATTTTTCCTCACTTTTTTTGTTCCATTAATTTATATAACATTATCAATATATCTAATCTCTCTTCTCTACAGCAAGATATCCAATCTCATAATGTCTTGCGTAATTACACAAACATTAGCTGATTGTAATAATTTATATAACTTTGTAATGATATTGAAATTAGATAATCCTTTGTATTATCAGTATTTTTTTAATAGTATGGGGTGATTACAATATAATATATGTTTATAATTTTTCTTAATTATTGATAAGACGCACATACATTACAGACGCAACTGTTAGAACTCATGACCTCAAAAAGAACAACACTATCACTAAGATTATTCAATGGGATATTATGTTTTGAATATTTAAATTCAAAGGATCAAATATTATTATACTTTAATTCTAGAAATAATACTTAATAAATAAAATAAAATAAAAATTAGAAGAACCATAACACTTTAGTATACCAACTGGTCCATGAATTTAACAATATTTTTTCAAAGTGGCACCTAAATCTTTTTTAGACCACTTTAATATACATAATTAGTCCTTGTATTTCTCTCCCGAAGAAAGAGTCATCGTCATTCAAATTGCGATGTCGATGCTCCAAATATCAATAAACCATAGGGATCTCGGTCACCTTTTCTTCGTCTTTATCCATTTTTATATAATATTTCAGACGATTGAAGGGTTTCGAGGTGGATTTTGACAAATTTGAATAATTAACGATCATTTAAGGATTAGAGTAGGTTGGATGAATCTATAGTAAACATTGACACCAAAACACCATTGATATAATATACTGAAACACATCACTAACTAAATTGTTCTTATTAAGTAATTTTTTTTTAAAAAAATCATTGAGCACTCCATAATTAATCCATTATAAGAATTTAATTATTTTTTTTAATTTCCACATCATCTTTCTATTTCTCCATAAGCATTTTTAATTAATTTTATTCAGAGTCACCACCTATGAGGATAAAATAAAAAAAATATCGTTACCTGTACAAATTAAACCTAAGCCTCTTACACGAGATGTAAGACACTCAACCATTAAGCTATACTAATCATTTGAGTTAATTTCACCACATTTTGTATTTAACTTATATAACAGTATCACCATAAAATCAATATTTTTCGATGATTATAAAATCCAAATATGAAACACCTTAAATTAATGACTGAAAGCTTAATCACCCATTTATATTGCAAATCTATTTTTATTATATAGAACTTATACTTATATCACTATTAAATTGAAGAATACATTTTCATTTTTTGTGAAAATAAAAATAATTTAATAATTATTTATATTATTTTATAAAATTTATATTAAATTATTATAAAAATATTTTAAATTATTTATTTATTTATTAAAAGTGTCACAGACATAATGATATGTGCCTATTATTAACCCGTCATAAGGTCAAGCCATACTTGACAGTTGACAAGAGTCATTCTCTCAGTTCATTAGACAATCGCATATAGCAACCCATCGAAATAAATAAGTTATGCATTAGTCCACAAGCTACAATGCGATCCTGAAGCCACAAGTACTCTTGGAAAAGAGATCTCGCGTAGCATAGCAAACACTAAAATGCAACCCTACTCCTCAACCTAGGGGTGTAAATGAGCCGAGTCGAGCTCGAGTATTGCTGAGTTCGACTCGAAAACTCTGAAATAGAGCTCGACTCGAAAACTGACGAGTTTAAAATTTTCAAGCTCGACTCGAACTCGAAATCCTGAATTGAAGCTCGTGAGCAGCTCGAAAAGGCTCGAAATGAAAAAAAAAATCTTAAACTTAACTCGATTGAAGCCTCAAACTCAAACTCGAACATGAATTTTAAATACATGAAATCTTACTGTATTTTTAAAAAAATCAATACATAAATATTAATATTATTATTAATTTATTTTTTTAAATAAAAGCTTAATATATTATATTTTCGAGCTGCTCACGAGCTTTTCGAGTCGAATATCGAGTAGCTCGTTTCAGCTCGTTAAGAACTCGAGTCGAGTCGAGTCCATTCGATCTGAGTATTTATCGAGCCTTGATCGAGTCGATCTAGAATAGCTCGCGATCTGTCTCGTCTCATTTACAGCCCTACCTCAACCAAGAACACTATATGAGGCCCACATGCCCCAAACCGTCCCTAGATATTTATCCTTGAGAGACAATGTGCCATCCACTTGGTCCAAATACCCGTACCTAGGCCTCATGTGAACCTAAGAGAAGCTCGTTTACACCATAATAGCTCCACATGCTAGCTAAGGATGATTTAATACAAAATTTTATAAAAAAATATAAATAATTATTTTTTATTTTTAAAGAAATTAAAGAAATTATTCTTTAATTTAATAATGATATAACTAAGTATTAAATTTCGTATAATAAAAAAGATTCATACTATAGTTGAGTGACTAAGCTTTTGATCATTAATTTAAAGTGTCTCATATTTGAATCTTATAATCATCTAAAAATATTTATTTTATGGTGATACCGTTATATAAATTAAATACAAAATATGATGAAATTAACCCAAATGAGTATCTA